AGGAAGGACACATGAGAAAGTACAGCATCTGTCCGAGGCAGCAGGGGCAGGAGCAAGGGGGAGCTCTAAGCCAGAGCCTTTACTGGGGTTTCCAAGGGAAAAGCAAGGCAGAGCAGAGCTCACAGCACAGGACTGGCTAGCTGGAGTGATTCCTGTGGGCCTTCAGCTGTGGGAGTGTCCCCCAGCTGCTTGGCTCCTGTTCCCGGGATGATTAAGACAGAGGAATATTGTCTCCTGCGGTGTGTGGACCAGATAGAGCCACCGGTGAGGCTCTGGATTGGTTAGTCTGCATAGCAAGGGTATGCTCCAGGCCAAGTGTTGTGGCTCAGGCCTGTAATCCCAGTGCCTTGGGAGGCTGAGCTGGGCAGATAGCTTGAGCTCAGGAGTTCGAGACCAGCATGGGCAACGTGGCAAAACCCCGTTTCTACTAAAAATACAAAAATTAGCTGGGCATGGTGGCATGTGCCTGTAATCCCAGCTACTTGGGAGGGTGAGGCACAAGAATCCCTTGCACCTGGGAGGCAGAGGTTGCAATGAGCTGAGATCGCACCACTGCGCTCCAGCCTAGGTGAGAGACCAAGACTTTGTCTCAAAAATAAACAAATAAACATTTATCATTGCACACATTTTCTGTGGGTGGGGAATTTGTGACCAGCTTGGCCTGTGATTCTGGCTCAAGGTCTCTCACGAGGTTGAAGTCAACATGGCAGCCAAGACTGCAATCATCTGAAGGCCCCACTGGGTTTGGAGGATGCACTGCTCCAATGCCTCTCCACAGGACCGCAGACCTGAGTTTCCTCATGGCCAGGCAGCTGAATTCTTCCAGCATGGGTGACCCAAGACTACAGGCACATGCCACCACGCCTGGCTAATTTTTGTATTTTTAGTAGAGACAGGGTTTCACCATATTGGCCAGGATGGTCTCGATCTCTTGATCTCATGATCCGCCCGCCTCAGCCTCCCAAAGTGTTGGGAATACAGGCGTGAGCCACTGCGCCCAGCCCCGCTTTTTTTTTTTCTTGAGACAAGAGTCTAGCTCTGTCACCCAGGCTGGAGTGCGGTGGTGCGATCTCGGCTCACTGCAACCTCTGCCACCCAGGTTCAAGCAATTCTCCTGCCTCAGCCTCCCAAGTATCTGGGATTACAGGTATGTACCACCACACAGGGCTAATTTTTGTATTTTTAGTAGAGACGGGGTTTCACCATGTTGGTCAGGCTGGTCTCAAACTCCTGACCTCATGATCCGCCCACCTCTGCCTCCCAAATTGCTGGGATTACAGGCCTGAGCCACCCCGCCTGGCCAATAAAAATTTTTTTAAAGCTAAAATTGACTCTCAGGCAAATGAGATAAAATGAACATACGTTAAATATTTTAACTTAATAAGAGAAAGAGTAAGACGTTACCAGTTATTTAATGATGGAGGAAAGGACCAAAAGCCAAGGAATAGATCGAATGCAGCTCTAGGTGCTGAAAAAGACAAGGAAAGGTTCTACGTTAGAGCTTCCAGAGGGAGCTCAGCCCTGTCAACATCTTGTTTCAGGTCACTTATATCGATGTCAGACTTCTAGTCCCCAGAACTGCGAGAGAATATGTTTCTGCTGTTTTAAGCCACCAAATTTGTGGTAATTTGCTGCATAACCACAGGAAACTAACACACCATCCCTCAGTTCTGCTTTTCTGTATGGACTCCATTCTCTAACAGATTCATCCCTCATGACGGCAAGAAGGCAGCAGCTGCCCCAGCTGACAGGTGCTCACAGCCTCAGGTTCAAAGCAGATAGAGGCCCTAACAGTTCAGAGAGAAGTCCCATGATGCTAACAGGTCCAAAGTGACCATTGCCAGGGCCAGGGGGATGGACTGCCCTGTGCTGCGGACCTGGGCCATGTACCCACACCTGCCCAAACCACCTGGGCTGGGGTGAGAGCTCCCTAGTACAAATTGGTACAAGAAAAGCTCGTGGAGGCCGGGTGCAGTGGCTCACGCACGTCTGTAATCCTAGCACTTTGGGAGGCCAAGGTGGGAGGATCACTTGAGCCCAGAAGTTCAAGACCAACCTGGGCCATGTAGCGAGATCCCGTCTCTAGCTATTCATTTATTTTAACTTACAGCATCCGGTCTATGTTGTTTTTTGAGACGGAGTCTTGCTATGTCACCCAGGCTGGAGTGTGCAGTGGCACGATCTCCGCTTACTGCAACTTCTGCCTCCCCGGTTCAAGCGATTCCCCTGCCTTAGTCTCCAGAGTAGCTGGGATTATAGGCGCACGCCAACAACCCGAATTTTTGTATTTTCAGTAGGGACGGGGTTTCACCATATTGGTCAGGCTGGTCTCAAACTCCTGACCTCGTGATCTGCCCGCCTCGGCCTCCCAAAGTGCTGGGATTACAGGAGTGGGCCACCGCGCCCTGCTTATTTATTTTAGCCAACAGCGCCCGCTGTTCCCAGGCGGTCTCCCAAGTACTAACCAGGCCCGACCCTGCTTAGCTTCCGAGATACCGACTCTAGGGGATGCCAGCTTAGTGGGTGTTCCACAGCGCGTGGGTGTGAGATGCAACTCAGTGGCGTGAACTCAGCGAGTTTCCAGGGTGGTAAAGACGGCCTGGGGCGGAGGAGGACGGCCAGGGAGGAGCTACATCGGCCCGACCTGCGTTCACGACCCGGGCAGCCCCGGGTCCCTGTGTAGCTGTTGGATGTGTGCCGCAGAGGCGCGCCGGGTACAGGAAAGGGCGGAGCGCATCCATGGCAACGCAGGACGCCAGAGTAGCTCGGCCTTGGCACCGCCCCACGGGAACCAGAAGGCGCGCGCCCGCAGCCGCGCCACAGTTACGCAGGCGCGATGGGGAGAACCGCAAGGCTTTGGGCCGCTCCGCCGAATGCAACCGCGCCCCCCAGGAGACCCGGTACCCACCTCCTACCATTCCCCGTGCCTCCGTGCGGGCCCCTCTCAGGCAGCGCGTAGTGGACGCAGGGGCGGGCTGAGGACGGTGAGTGACGCCAACGGACACCCTCCGGCCAAGCACAGATCTGTCCTCCGGCTCCACCCACTCCCGCCGCGCGGGGCAGGG